GTGTATAAACTGCTAGTAATAAAAACTAACAAGTGGGTTGCCCGGCTAGCGTTTCCCCTCCTGTATGAAACATGCTTTTGTCTGCTTGCTCATAAGGTCATTAGGAAGACTGCGCATTTGACCACTTATGTCATCCAAGACTTAACATTAGCACAGATATGATGGCCGAGGAAAAAGTGAGAACGCTTAACAACCCTTAAGTAATTTTATTAACTGCAAATCTGTAGAAGCTGGAGGGGATATAAACAACTGAAGGGTTGGTTTGTCAGTAATGGCTATAATGGTACTTAAAGTATCAGTGAATAATTTATTGATCATTAATAAAGCCATTAGTTACAATTCATAAACTTGTTATAAAGAATGCCTTACTAGACAGCGACACAAAAGTCTACATTAAGAGGCTTTAAAACCAGATGGGAGTCAAATGAAAGGATTTAAACCCTTTTTCTTTTTAATTACTAGAAGCATCTTTTCAATTTTACTTACCCTTTTTATTACTCCACTGTGATCTGTCCTGTTTGGAAGAGGACTTTGTTTGTTTATAAGTACTGCAGTGATTACTGTCTTTTCCACCAGAGAACACAACTTTTGCATATACGCCGAGGTCAAATTCAGTACAAATCTCCCAAAATGACCTGCTGTACTTCACATTTACTGGTAAATTTGTAGTATTTTTCAGTTAAAGCTCAGAGAGGTCAAGGAAGACCAAGAAACCTTTTAAAATCTGATGAGATGCTTCTCAGTCTCCACAGGAAATCCCACCAGGACCTGGCTCAGCACCTGGCAGCTTCACCTGGATGCCAGGTTGATCCTTCCACACTGATGAAGCCTGATCATGAACGGCCTTTGTGGAAGGACAGCATGCCTGGAACCGCTTTTTCAAAAGGGGGACAGTGAGAAAGGCTGAGAAAAGCTCAAAAGATGAGTGAAGATCAGTGGGAAAGAGAATTATGGAGTGATGAATTGAAATGTTCAGGTCCAAGCGTTGACACTGTGACATGAAGAGTTGGAGAGAGGTGGAAGAACGAGTGTAGCAGCCTTCAGCGAAGCATGGTGGAGGCTCTGTCATGGTTTCAAGACCTCATGATGGTCTCCCCCAAAGAATTCAAGCTGTGCAAAGAACCCACTGTAAATACTGACTTTGGACTAGAGAAGCCCATTTATTCTGAAAATTGTGTTTCTTTTAATACATCGTGTATGTGTTTCCAGTATTTCCTGGTTATATCTTAATAAGGACACAGAAATAAATAGAAATAATCATCAAAACTCTGCTAAAACAGAAAAATTAAGGGAGGCCTTTTTGCACAGTACTGTGTGTGTGTGTGTGTGTGTGTGTGTGTGTGTGTGTGTGTGTGTGTGTGTATCACATGGACTTGTTTCTAATCCCACTCACTGCATATAAAAACAATGTTTATTCCCCCAAGAATCAGAAAATGGACACTGCCCTGAATTTTTACTCATCATTCCTGAATTTGTCAAATGAGCATATAAATTTTCAGCCAACCTGCCAGGACTGTCTGTCTCTCTCTATAGTCTGTGTTCAGAGCAAGTAGAAAGGAAATGGAGAGAGGAGGAGAAAGCGCTTGGCAGAGCAGCGTCCAGGCAAATCGGGCGAGAGAAAATTATGGAGAACAAGCAATTGAACCGGTGTGGGAGAACGAGTGGGTGAGGGAGCGAGTGACAGTGAGCAAGAGAAGGAAGAGAGAAAGAGGAAGAAGAGGAGGAGGAGGAGGAGGTGGAAGAGGTGGAGGATATATTTAGAGCTGCTTCTAATCAACTTCTCCGTCAGTTTGTGTCTGTGGGGGCGACAGGGAGAGCGGGAGAGAGAGAGAGAGCGAGAGAGAGAGAGAGAGAGAGAGAGCCAAGTTCAAAACTAAAAATCAATATGCAGCCCACTCACTCGCAGAAAGCAGCGGCCAGAGAGGAAGAAAGGAAGGGAAAGTGAAAGAAAGAACAGGAAAACAACAGGAAAAGGCAGACACAGATGAGACTATGAAAGTGGAGGAAAAGCCTTTCGGTGTCATCACTGCACTCCAGAGCTTCATGTAACAGACATACTGCAGTACACACAGCAACACCTCGCCTAAAAATCCACTTTAAGGGATTGTTCGAGATGCCACATGTGCTGTACACTGAAAATGTGGTTTGACACTGTAATCATTTCTCTGATCTATAACGGCTGTGAAGTGATGACGCCCTGAAGCTAATACGAGGCTTCAGCAGCCTCATTTCGCCAAATCACTGGATGTCTTCTGAAATTAGTCTTCGCTGTACAAACTCCCACATTGTGTTTTGCCAGCCAGCGTCTTTCTGCTGCGCTGTAGTGGAGGGACACCTCACAGTAGTCACATGCCAGGTTGTTGCTGGGATACAACATCAGTAACAAGCCCACACGCACCTGAGATCACAACTTTGAGCTGTTCTACTGAGGTTTACAGGGGGAGAAAAGTAAAATGTCTCTTTAAAGCATTTGCACAGATAGAAAAAAGCTTTCATGAATATGAAACACTCTTTATACTCTCCTTGATAATCTAATCCTGATCTGTCTAATCAGTAGTCTAGACATGGGGAAACAGCAAATTTGTCCTTTAATGTGATTATTCGTAAACTAAAGTTTTCACAAATTTGAAAATGGGTGTCAGTGAGTGTTAAGGTTTTTTCTAGAATGTCTAAAACCCTTTCACAACATTCAGACGTGTCACTCTGTATTGTACCTTGTCTCCCTTAACTGTCAAATCAGAAGCCAACTTCAGCATTGTGTGGCTTCCACAAGATCACCAGTAGCTTTCAGACCATCTCTTTCACTCTACAGGCATTTTCCTGCTCCAGACAGGCCTGAAATTCATTAGCCCCGTTCCACACAGTGTCATCTAACATTACTGTGTGGGAGACAGTCCAGGAAGATCCCACAAAAAGCTTCTGATAAGTGGCTGTGTTACAGCTGGTGTTTGCATTATTAGCTTTAGCCTACCTGTCGCTAACACGACCACTTGCTGCAGCAGAGCTCTGCCACACCAGCACAAGGTTAGTTCCAAGTGAGCACTCGGTTCTCTAAGTAAAGACACCTGTAGAGAGCAACACAGCAGTGTGAGAGCTCCACCTGAATTCAGGGAAGCCACTGCAGTAACTATGCGGCCGTGCTCGGCAGACAGAAACCTTGATGCAAAC